GGCGCACGCGCAAAAAACCATGTGTTTAGAGTGATAGAGAGAGTATCGTACTAGCAGCAGTGCCGAGAGTCCAGACCCAGAGGATCTTCAAGCCAGGGCTCTTCTCTCTTCCCATTTCCTAGCATCACAAATTAATTCCAAATTACTAGCAGTAATAAACTAAAACCGAACTACGGTCTGGCTAAACACTATCAAGTAATCAGAAACCTAGAGCAATTAACATTTTGTTTCTTGAGCCGAATCGAAACTAAACAAGAACAAACATTCAATCTAGAATCTTGAAACACGATCAATGTGCAGTAAGCCAAAAGTGATTATAACGAGTATACATAAACATTTCCCACCAAAATCTACACACATACATGAATGATTCAGTGATTATGAATGTCCCTGAATCATTCATAATCAAACCCCATTACAACAATCTTAAAGAACCGTAATCACATAGCATAGACCCTTAAGAACACGGGAAAAAATACGCTGCTTTATCTCTTCTGAAACAAAATTAGAAGTCCCGCTGTTCAAAACCCAGATTTGAAACCAAACCCAAAACCTCAATACAGCTAAATGAGTTTCACATACCGAATTCACAATAAAAATCGAAAATTGATTGCTAATTTCGTCAACACCAAAATCAGAAAGTGCTTGGGTTTGAGCAAACGAGATCGACACAGTGTAGTTCCTTCCCCTTGACAAAATTAGTGACCGAAATAGATCCAGACAAAGAATCAGAGGGGAAAAACGATACCTTTCACGAATCAAAGAGCTGGAGAGCGATGAATTTGAGGAGGACGAGACTAGGCAGAGAGTGAAAATGAAAATGCCAAAGGAAGAAGAAGACTCAAAGCAGAAGCTCCCAAGACTTCGAAGCATAAATACTACCCTACTTAACTAGTTCGTATAAGCCCAAAATTTATTTCGTTTGGGCTCAAGACTGGCCCAAATGTATTCTTTTGGATTGCAATTGCATATTCTTTGGTTCAAACTTCAGTCGATGACTTTAAATTTTGAGGAAATACAAAAAGAAAACATGAATATTAGAGAAATTTTGGGGTTTCTATGGACTTATTAATGTGTTTGTCTCATACATACACAATTTTTCACAATTACCACACAATTTATAACAAACGAGCTATCATATTCATATCATGATAATATATGTTGTGAATTACCACATTTAATTTGAAAATACCTCCACTGGTCAGAGATATATTTCGTTAATTTTTTAATGTTAATATTCCAATTTTGACTACATATATTTTGATATAAAATCTCCACTTTACATATTTCATCTATCCTAAATCATTAAATTTTAAATTTTACAGGAGATTCTCATTTTATACAATTAATTGTGAGATTTAGATCTATTTCCATTCATGTTTCAATTGCTAAACAATATTCATCATTCCATTTTTGTCCTCGTTTTTAATTTGGACAAATTGATTGGAAAGGAGATTATGAGATTTGGAAGAATGTAACTTGATTCAAAAAGGTAGAAAATAAAATGTAAAAAGTAAAATCGAGGACATGAATAAGAAAATATATTTCAGTTCATGAAGTTATTCACTTCCATATATTCCAAGATATATAAAATTGAAACTAAACCAAGTTGAAATCAAATTAAATGTAATGCATTTTCATCAAAATGACACGTGTTGCAAATCTCATCAAATAGTGACGTATGTTAAAAACGAAAACTTCATGAAATTTATAGGCTCCCTTTATATAATAAGATACGACGACCAAAATATATCACTGGTCTGGTCTGTTCCTTTACGAGTCTTTGAAATATGTTTCTTTTCTTTCGTTAAAATAGAAAAAGACTAACCAAATGGTAGTAGGTATACATCCATTGCAG